GTCCTTATTATAGGGACCGCCGAAGACATACCCCTACTTCATCAGAAAAGTTCAAAGGTGGTCATTGAGTAGAGCCATGCTTAAGGGACCAGGCGCCTAGAAGCTTGCTGCTCTCTTTGACCAATGCAACATCAGAGGTCTCAGCGTTCTCAGAATAAAATGCTTAATGCCTATACATCGAGTTGGAATGCCTGCGCAGCGCATCTTCTTGCTCGGAATTCTTTGCTTCTAGGAGGATATACTAGACACATGAAGCTATCCCAGCCAGAAGTGGTGAAGTCCACTCCACCCCCGTCTTGCCTTGGACATGTCAAGTGCAAGACGTCCGTAGTGGCAACTAGCCAGCCCCAGTGTCAGTGTCTCGCTGGCCTTCAAGCCATCACGGGCATGATGCTAAGATGTTGTCGCGCTGTAAGAAGGAGATTGGCTTCAAGAACTTGCCTACGGTTGTGATTGATTCTTGAGGCAAGAAGGCTGCAGCAGAGGTTGTGGACATGGATCAGGTGCTCTTACACCCCCAGCCTGTGCTTCCTTCGGCCTCTGCGCAAGATATCCGACATCCCGAATAAGCATGGGTAAGCTTAAGTTGCCAGAGCTTGATTGAAACTGAGACGAATCGAGAACCCCCCCCCAAACACTGAGCCCTGATCATAGGAGTGAGCATAGACCCAATACTGAGGATCTCGCTACTGACCAAGTCGTGCAGGAAAGCAAAATCAATGAGGTCATGATGCGGCACTGTGCATATATTTGTCCTTGTGGTCTATTCCCGATCATGATATGGCATGTCTTTTCCAACAACATCAGATGCCCCACAGCCATGAGCCATGCAGAGTCCTCCGGCGTGAGGACATCGCCCACAGACTGCTGCATCAGTGCGCAGAGTGGAGCATTGTCCAACTGTGCAGAAGCGAGCAGAGGGAGGGAAGAAGGTGTGACGGGCCTTCCGGTGCAGGCGTCACTGCTAATTCAGAAGGAAATGACAGAATGGAATTATGTTATTGCAATCTATAGGGGGCTACTAAAGGATCGGTTCCTGCATTTTGATACCATAGCAGCAGGTCACGAGCGAATTGTCCAAAGCACAAAGCCAGCATGAAATTTTCTCACAGTTGTGCGAACTCCCAGGCCTTCACATCCATGTCCTCGTTGTCCATGACCTGCAAGGCACTTCCGTGCTGCACGAGGGCCTCTATGATCTTCTGAGGCCGAAGGCAAACCAGTAGCAAATGCCACAGTTGTCCGCTTGTCTTCTGGTGCTTGGAACGACACACCTTTAGCTGAGGGCATATGGTTTCCATGTGCAGAATGTTTCGTTGATGTCTGCCACATTCTAAAATAGCACTTCAAGCAAGCAGATTTACTACACATTCAGACCAATCTCAACCCTACAGAAGTTTATTGAAGTTTACTGTGCAGTCAGCCAGCGTTGGCGACCCTTGGCCTGTCCTTCCTCGACACTAGTTTGCGGGGTCCCTCGGCAGAAGTCGCCGAATAGGAGTGCGAGATGCTGCGGGCGATGCGTCAAATAACCTAACCTTGCCCGGCTTAAGTCAGACTTTAAGACTTTAGGGCTAGCCTCGGCAAAGCAAGAAGCCTTAAGCGAAGCCCTTATACAGCCCTAGCATACCGATCGTTACCCCTCGAGCGCACGCTTAGTGTATGCGGGCTGAGCTGACACTTCTGATGCCTTGACAAGCCGATCTCCTAGCTCGCCCAGGCCTAAACAAGAAATCAAGAAATCCTTTTCCAACCCGCGCCAACGAAACCTCCGAACACAAAGGCAACTCTGCGTGGGTATATACTGAAAATACTTCCGAAAATGATCAAAACCGACGCGCTAAACCTCAACCCCCAAACCCCTCAAGCCCTGAAACCCTTCGCCTTGAGACCCCTCAACTGTTAAAACGCCTAACCCCACAAAATCCTTCCACAATGCCCTGCACCTGGCTCTCCTTCTCGGCGTTCATGAGGAAGGCCTTCAGCTTCAGGGACCTGTCAACGGCAGCGGTCCCTTACTTAGCTTAAGCTTGGAAGCACACAAAGGGATGCGACAGTAGATGGAGTCGATGCTGTACGACTTCAGGTACACCAAGTGCCAAAGCGGCGTTTGAATGCTGGGGGCAAACGGACTCAGAGACTGCGCAAGTAAAGTGCATAAATTAGGAGAATGTTCCGTGTCCAAGAGTCGGCCGCAGCCATAGCATCAGACTTTGTCTAGTGACCTAGCTACAACACCTCAGCCTTCTTGCAACAGCATCTGACTTGCTGGTTCTTAGTGGGGAATTAAGGAGATATAGCCCCTAGAACACTCCTATCTTATAAGTTCCCATATAACTTACTAAGCCCCAGTAAACTTAAGATGACATCTTCGCACAAATGAGGGACAATGGTGAGGGCTGGGAAAGCTTCGCACAATCACATATGAGGGGTGATGAAAACCC